AATTAGAGAATCTGGTGTCACTGATGTAGATTCCTGACATTCTAGAAGCAAACCCAGAAAGGGTCCCCATTGGTAGTAGGGCTGGCAAAAATAAAAGACTGTTTTTTAAATTTAGTATTTAGGGATTAATTTGACCAGGAGCACACAAGATCTCTAGGCAGAAAAATAAAATTCTAATAAAAAACACTGGTCTGAATAAATGGAAAGATATTCAAAGCCCTCAGAAGACATGACTTAATATTACAAAGGTGTCAACTTTCTCCAAATAATCTAATGATTCAATGCAACCCCCAAGAAAAATTTCCCTCAAAAGGAAACTTCTTTTTTTTTTTTTTTTTTTTGAGACAGAGTCTTGCTCTGTCACCCAGGCCAGAGTTCAGTGGTGCGATCTCAGCTCACTGTAACCTCCGCCTCCCGGGTTCAAGTGATTCTTCTGTGTCAGCCTCCAGAGTAGCTGGGATCACAGGCGCCTGCCACCATGCCTGGCTAATTTTTATATTTTTAGTAGAGATGAGGTTTCACCATGTTGGCCAGGTTGGTCTCCAACTCCCAACCTTGTGATCCACCCGCCATGGCCTTCCAAACTGCTGGGATTATAGATGTGAGCCACTGCACCGGGCCGGAAACTTCTTAAACTTATTCTAGAATTTATACAGAAGGATAAAGACTCATAAATACCCAAGTCAAACCTTAAAAGGGAAAATAAATAGAGGAGACTTAACTAACTAGATATTAAGAGTTGCCTCAAGGTTATTGCATTAAAAACAGAGGGAGAGGTATTGGGACAAAAACAGCTAAACAAAAAAATTGAATAAAGGGCTCAGAGATAAAACTGAAATATGCAAACCTACTATGCAAGAACACCGGCACCACAAATCAATCAAGAAAAGAACAGATAGCTGCTGGTAGAAAACTAACTCTTCCCATGATAAAAATAAGAATGGATCCTCGTGAAACACCTCATATAGTGGCAGAAATAGGCTGGATTAGAAACTTAAATGTGAAAGACACACTCATAAAGCCAATAAAAGAAAATGTAGGTTCTTATCTTTGTGACATGGGTTACAAAGGCCTTCTCCAAAATATAACTTGAAAAATCATAAACCAGAAGGAAAACAAGAGATGATTTGCATATTTAAAAAAGCCTTTAAAGGCTTTGTACTCAAAGAAGGATACCACGTATTAATAGACAGATGTCAAGATGAGAACATACACTTAAATCGTCTAAATCTAACAAGGGATTAGTAACTAGAATCAGAAGGAACTTTTTACCTATCAAAAAGAAAAGATGGTAACTGAAATAGAAAAATGGGCAAAGGACATGAATAGGCAATTAACAGAAGAGGAAACCCAGTAAACTAACAGGCATATATATGAATAGATGTTCAAATTCATTAATTACCAGAGAAATGCAAATTAAAACAACAATGACCTATTATTTTACACCTATCAGACTGGCAAAAAATTAGAAAGCTGAATACTCATGAGAGTTGGCAGGAATGGAGAAATTTGCATGTAGAATTGGTGGGACTGTGGATTGACCACTCTGGAGAACAATATGAGAGAGCACTTAAACTATGCATAGCCTTTGGCCAGCAATACTTTGGGTGGGTGTGTCCCAGAGGAATTCTCACACAGGAAGGTATGTACAAAGATGTCCACTGTGGTGATGTTAGTGGTGATGAGGAGTTGGAGGTATAAGGAGATGGAGTACCTCTCTACAAAAACAGATACAAAGTGCCATATACCACAAATTATGCAGCAATCAGAAGCCACAGTGTAAAAGGACACAGTGGAATATGAATGGTTCCTAACACAATGATGAGGGCAAAAAGTAAGAAATAAAACCAGACTCAGAACAATTTATTAACTTAAGAACACAGAAGATAAAAGATACACATTTTAGAAAAAAAGAACTAAAAAGGAATGGACAAAATGAAACAAAAGGAATGAATGAATCAAGAAACCTGTGCTTATAATGTGTCATGAACAAGGGAGCGTGACGATTCAACTATCTAAACCTGAGATCCAAACAGAGCATAGTGAAGAGGAGAGGAAAAGGCTCTGAAAAGAAATGTACATGTATTTATCAGCTGCCATCCTCTCCCTGGCAACTGGGTCATTTGGAAAATACCAGCAGCTGACAGACATTACTTATGGCCCTGTCTTATACTCCGCAGGCACCATATGCCCTGAGAGAAACTTCAAGATGAAAGCAACAAATTCAGAAGTTCCTTTTTGCTATCTACTCCTTCAAAACATTCTGGCTCTGTGATAAAATGTTTGCATTGAAATTCCCATCAAAACATTTCCTAGAAAGGAAAATGCTGGACATTTGGAATTTGGATGCTAGACATTTGGAATCTGGTTAAGAAGAGCAGTGCCTCACTCTTAAATTCGTATCAGATTGGCTTCAAGATTGTGTCATAAATAGAAGGAGTGTTGCAGATCAAGACCCAGAGCACCAGCGCCACCTGTGGCAGATGAGCCCTATGGGTTTGGATTAAATTGCAAACTACTGCAATCAAGAGATACAGTACAACCACCACCCCAGCAGGGAGGGGAAGCTAAGAACATGTACCATGTGGGAAAGAACTCAAAAAAGGGCAAAGAAACACTAACACTAAACACTGGTTTGCCAGCTTGGAAATCAACGAATACCCTAAAAAAACAATTCCTATTTAAATGACTCCTGAAAAAGTGGCCACTATTTTTAACCCATCTTTTTATCTCCTGTGTGCTAGAGTAAAGGGTAATGACTGAAGAATCATTAGACACCCAAGGCAAGCAACTCTCTTTGCTCTGTGAATAATGGGATGCAAAAAGCAAAATGTCACAACTGTTTGTGTTTTCCCAAATAAAACTGCTTGTATTATTCTTTTCTTGAGGGAGGTCGAATAATGCATGTTGTTATGTATGTTGTTCTAGAGCCTAATTTTTTTTTTAAATTTAAATTATCAACATATTATCGACAGAATTTCTGCAAATATATCCAGCCCTCTCTGGTTCTTTCTAAAGGCTGTGTATAACTCCATAATTTATTTATCCAATTCCCTATTTAGTATGTAGATTGTTACCCACTCTTTGCTATTATCGCCAATGCCCCAACAAACTTATTTGCTGTAAAAACCACCTTTGCACACCAATGATTTCTTTAGGACAAGCCATTGGGAGGTTAAAGGGTGGTCACTTTTTCAAGGCTTCCAAAGCATATTCGCAAAATGCCTTACAGAAATGTCAGAACCAGTTGTCTTTCAACTCTGTCGGGATTTATCTCAAGTACAGAGATGTAGGTTCATAAGGTCACAAGTTATAAGTGAACTTCTGACAAGTGTAAGGGAGGTCTCCATTCACATGCCTCTCCTCCCCCACCACTTTTGGGTCCTTTATTATGGAGGCACTGTGTCCCAGGTGGGGCCAGGTGTGAGCATCTGTCAGTGTAGCCTGCTTGCCATCCATCCCCTCTGGTCCTGATGGCTTCCCTGATTTCCCTCTGGGAAACTACTCTGCCACCATTTTTTTTGGAGCAGTCTTGAAACTCTCAATCAAAGTGTATAGTTTTCTCCTGGGTGGACCCAAGTTAGACGAACTTGATGCCTGGGAATCTCAATCTTCAGAAAGGTGAGGCAAGGACTACAAACAGCTCAGAGCTTTATCATTTTGCAAGTGTTGTCCAGAAGACCCTTTCTTACCGGGTTCTTGGGTCTCCAGAACTCTTCTATTCTCAAGCCAGGCTTTTCAGCTCCTCTGGCCTTACTATGAGTTATCATACAGCCTTACATATTCCCACAGCATTGTAACTGTTGTTTTTGCTGTCTTTGCCTCAGTTAGCCAGAGTTGACTTCAGGTACTCTAAAAAAAAAATCCTACCTAATCGGGGTAGGGTAGGGTGGAATTACTTCCTTGTTTCCTTGAATATTTACTTAAAATTTTTCCCTTGTTCAAATTTTTTGGGGGATGGGGAGGGAACATTTTTCCCTCTCATAAAGGCCTCTCAATCTACCAACAGGAGGCATTCCAAATTACTTAGTATTTTATCTAAAACTCCTGGGCAAAAATTGTATTTTAAAGAGAAAGAAAGAGGGAAAAATCTCTGTCCTATAATGGCTTTCACAAAAAAAAAAAAAACAATGCCATCCTTTCGTCCACATGGAGAGGCACAGTTCTCCTGATTTTCCTAACACAACTGGATTTCACAGTAGGGCTACCTTTACATTTTTTCTCAAGTGGATTTTACAAAGCAAATCTGAAACAAGGCACAAGATTTCCTCTGTACTCCTGCAGCAACCTGGAAGGATTTTGTTTTTTCTCCTATGCACCAAGGAGATAATCAGCCCAAACACTCTACCAGTAGCATGTTCATTTTAATCCCATCGCCTTTACAAGGTTACAGGTACCCTTGGAAATCATGATTAACCGGAGTGCTTAGAAGCAGCGGCAGGGCAATTGGACTATAGCCTACAGAGGTTGCCCAGGGACATTTCCATCACAGAGGAAGATTACCATAGAATTCATCTCCATTCTTTCCTTCCTCAAGAGTTCACAAAGAAAACAGAGTTACTAAGAAATCACCTAACATACAGCTATTGCCTCTCCAGTACTTGGAGCGAAAGACAGTGTAGGAAGCAAGAGCAACTCTGGCTTTCCCACAGAATAAGGCTCTTGGGGAGTTGAGTATTACTGTATTAAGTAACTTTTAAGTGGTGACAAGCTATAGTCTTAAGAAGACCTACAATTAAAGGAGATAATGTACACGAGAATGCTTTGTAAAGTGTGATATGTTATTTAAATAAGGTGTCACTACAGCCTTGCCAGCCAGGCTCACTTACAGGAGTCACTGGAGGAAAGTCGGGGTGGAGGCATGTCCCACTGCACTTGGGAATTGGGGGGCAAACCCAACATGCCCACAGCACCGCCTGGTGGTTCACACATGCAGTAGCAACTTCTCAAACCCCACTCCCAACCCTGGCAGTAGAAGGTTACCCAAGCATCGTACTTACTCCCTTCACTCTGGCTGTCTTTGTTTGAGTTGTAGACCTGAAAAACAAAAATAAAAATTCACTGTGTGTATTTCATACCACCTTATAGGTTCACTGAAGAAAACCATTATATTCTTCATTTTCCCTAGTTTGCACCATAAAGTGGAAGGTAATTTCTGGCTCCCAAATATGAACCCAATCAATAATTATCTACTTCTCAGTATTCACTTTAGCTGTTCATAAGTGTGTGTGCATCAGAATCATCTGTGCAACTTTACTGTGTAAAAAAAATCATATTCCCTCTTTTTAAGAAAGCAAGTAAATGTATACATATATATAAACAGAAAGGAGAAAAAAATTTAAATAAGTTACAAATCATTAAGCATGAACTGTGCACCAGGCAGTGTGCTAAGCATCTCACATGACTAATCTGAAATAACCAACATGATAATTCTGTTGAACAGGAGCATTTATTATCACTGCTTCACAGATGGAGAATATGAGGCCTAGAGAGGTTAACTAATGTCTCATAGCTAGTTAGTGGCAAAGTCAGGACCTTTACATCAAAAACTGTTGACTGTTAATACTGAGGAGTGGGAACTGTTACTTTTTACTCTACATACTTCTGGAAATTTGAATGTCATCAGGAAAATATATATTTAACTACTGAAACCCCTTAAACAATCTATGTAAATCATAAAAAGGGAAAGTATCCCAATAAAAAAAAGAAAAGAAAAAATGCCCCAATATAAAAGAGACAATGGCATATTGCAAGGGTCAGCAAGTTTTTCCTGTAAAGGGTCAGATGTTAACATTTTAGGCTTTGTGGGCCAAGAGGCAAAATCAATGATATTACGTAGGTACTTCTATAACAAGATAGAAAGTAAATTTTCAAAAAATTTTTGACAAAATTTAAAACCTAATAATAATACTTGAGTAGAATTTTTGGAATACAAGCCTACTAATCAGAAGAATGGATGTTCTGAGAGAGAGGTTGAGCTTAACTGGTGCTCAAAGTTAGTATTCCTTATAAAGCTGATTGCAGATGTTTGTAAATATGATGCTTGGCTCGTGGGCTCTAAAAAAGAAGGTGGTGGGCCAGATTCGGTCTGTAGATCACAGTTTGCCCATCACTGACATTCTGTCATGATTAAATAAGATGAAACCTTTACTTCAGAAAAGAAAAAATCATAGAACCCAAACACTTCTTTTGTTATTAAGGTTCCGTAGGTATAGAAAGGCATAAGGTGAACCTAATCATAATTTGTATGTGTGTGTACATACATATATCCCTCTAGTGATTATAATGGCTACTCTCAGTTGAGAACCACTTATTTAACTCCTAAAGGAATCGAGGCAACCATCTCTGAAAAGAACTATTAAATCCAGAAAGGTATTTTTCACTTAAGAAATATGACTGAGAATGGCTGGGTCAAGAGGTTCCACTTAGCCCTTTAGCTGTGTTGTGTCATTGGGTCTCTTAGCCTCTCTGGGCATCTATTTCCTCATCTATAAACTGAAGGAAGGAAGGAGTCGCTCAAGAAGGTCTTTGAATTATCAAGTTCTAAATACAACAAATCACTCAATTTTATTATTAATTTTCTAAAGAAAACTAAAGCTACAAGGCCACTTATTAAATGTCAGAAAAAAGGAGGATAAAGGGAACAGTTTCTATATTTAAAGAGGATTGTCTAATGAGTGAAAGGCATCAATGTATACATCTAAAAGTTCTAGAGATGAGGAGTCAAAAGATTTTGATCTTGGCCTGGGCTTCCCCACTGATAACTTCGTCTTGCTGAACTTTAATTTCTTCATCTACAAAATGTGGGCAATGATAGGTTTTTCTGACTGACTCAGCCAGAGTGGCTGTGAACATCAAATGAGACGGTGCGAAAGAAATATACTAAGACAGCACAACACAATGCAGGTGCTTTGGACTCTACTACTGAGAAAAGAAATGCTTAACATTCATGGAATTTGAGGGGAAGGCAAAAGTCACCATCAAGTCTAGATGAAGGCTGACATAGAGGTTGTGTAATTTCTACTTAAAAGAGGAGCCACAGTGGCCCATTCTCCCTCGGCAGCATCTCTGTCATCTATATAAATGAACTTAAACTAGATCATGGTTTCCAAATTGAGCCCCACAGCACCTGCACAAACAAGGACTGCCAAGGGGGCTGGAGAGAAGCTAAGACCCCAGGTGACCAAATGTCCCCTCCCTTGGCTTTTATGCGTTTTACTCATGTGGCTACTGAACAAGGAGACAGTGGCTTTGAAAAGTTTGAAGACCTCCGAAATAGTAATTTCCCACGTTGCTTGCAATTCATTTACTTATTCATGCATTTAACAAATACATACTGTGTGCCTATAATGGTTGGGCAACGTTCCAGGTGCTGGTGATACAGATGAATTAGACATCCATAATCTCTGCTCTCGTAAAACTTTCCAATTAGTGAAGAAAACAGAAATAAGCAGATGTACAAATATGATTACTTCAAATATTATTAAGTACATTAGAGAAAGTTAAAAAAAAGGGGGAGGGTATTGTGGACTTCAGGTGAGGAAATGCTTCTCAGAAGAGGTGACCTTTGCATGAGGCCTGAATGATGAGGGGAGCCTCCTTTGGAAGACAGGAGAACCAGTGCCAACAGAAAGCACAGGTCCTTGAAAGGTGAAAAGGCATTGCCTTTGAAGGAAGAAGGCCAGTGTGGCTGGCAATCAGTGCAATGCAGAGAGGGGTAGAAGACGATGATAGGGCAGAGGGGCAGTGATCCCATCCTGTAGAGCCTGTGACCTGGGAGTGAAATGGGTCACTGTGCAACAGCTAGGACCAGCGATCCATGGTGACTAGCATTCACTAACTTTGGAAAGTTGGACAAGAAAAGTACAGGAGAGACGACCACACTTTGGCAAGTATTTTTCCCAACTATCCTTGATCACTGCATTTCTCCCAGTACATTCAAACATTCTATCCAAGAGAAACTTGTTTCTATTTATAGCTGGCAAAATCCAGAAAAAAACAGTAAAGTGCAAGACTTCCAGGCCTCCTTAATTAGGAGATGAATTTGTGCCAAATTACTTTCTTTCAAGATTTTCTGGGTCTCGGGAGACCCCTTCCTGGAACACCCAAGCATTCCCTGAATTCCCTGAATTGGAGAAGCGTGATCAATGAGCCAAAGGCACCAGAAACATGTACCCGCCTGCTCCTCTGAGGCCAGGACATTAATCTCTGTCTGGTTTGGGTTAATGAGACAAAGAGAATGAGTTTTGAAATGAAGCTAACGAATCCCGCTTATCAGGACTTTGTAACTACAAAAAAGGCCCAGGGTTGGGGAGCAACCAGCTGGTGGCTCAGTCGCAGCACTAAGCAGGGATGGTTTTGTGGACCTAGCACTTACCAAGTGCCACACATGACAACATCTAATCCTTGTAACCACCATATGGATGAGGTCTAGTATCATTCACATTTTAGAGCTATGGAACCTGAGCCTCAGGGTGGTTACACAGTTTGTCTAAGGACACAGAACTGGCCAGTGGTGGACTATTCCATCTTGCCCCTAAAAGGATATTCCAATGCCCTTTTAACTTTCTAGGCAGTGCAAATGTGAACCACTACCAAGTCACTCCCGTGGTTGGTATTACGGTTCATAAATACTTTCTATATTGACAGAAGCAAAGAGCAACCAATTCACCCTTTAGAAATGGTTGACCTGCTCTGGGCTATCCTTCTTCTACAGATCTCACAGTTGACCACTAGCAACAGACCGAGGTTCAGAGACAAGAGCAATGTCCTGAAATGTCACTTTGGCCACTGCTTTGTCTTATGATACTCAAATTTGTATGCTTTCAGGTAAGCCTCTCAAGAGCATCTACCTTAACAGAATAGAACCCAACTCTCCGGGAACAACTCAAGTGGACTAGGGGCACTAAACAATGCCTGATTTATGGCTCCTAAGAAGACTGAAACAGTTAATGCACCTTCAACAACCCAACTTAAGTTAAACTCCGTCTGTCCTGCTTCGCTAGAGTACTCTAAAACCTTGAAACGTTATCCCCTTTGGGTTGACATACTTTGATGTAGGTATAGTCTAGTTTCTACCGACCATTGTACATGAAGATTTGTTGACTATTGATGCCAATGAGTATCTGTTTCCAATTCTATGCTTCTAGAGAAGAGAAATACATGTGTTTATCTTATCATGGTCCATTTAAGAGTCACTAAAGAATAATTGCAACAGATAGAATAACGATGATGATGACAAAAGCCTTACCATGTGCCAGACACCGCATTCTATGTGCATTGTCTTACTCAGTTCTCATACCAGCCTAATTATTCCTAACATAGAGATGAGAAAACTGAGGCATTAGAGAATTTAGGTCACATGCCCAAGGTCAGACATCTGAAAATGGGCTGAGTCCAGACAGGAACTCCTACAGTCTGTCTCCAGAGCTCAAGCACTTAACCACTAACCACATAATAAATCAGCCATTGTGATGATGATGATGGTGGTGGTGGTGGTGGTGGTGGTGGTGGTGGTGGTGGTGGTGAGATAGTGTGGGCAGCTGGGCAGGTGAATCACCAGAAGAAAGAACTTGCCCTAAGTCAGACAGAAAATGAAACTGGGAACGGTCTTCTGATTCTAGCTTGGAGCATTCACCACCCATGCAACCAGCTGGCATCTAGTGTAGAAGTAACACTTCATTTTCTTTCTGAACCACAGGATTCGATCCTGACAATAAATACCAGGGGAGGAGAGTTGCTCTTCGATACAAATCACAAGGCACTGCGATTCTGAGTCCTTACCCAGAAGCTACAATGAAAGCACAATTTAATAAATCAAAGAAGGGCGAGGAAAGCCTTCATATGCTTCCTCTGCACCAAGATGTGATTTTGCAATAAATTCACTGCTGAGCCAATTCAGTTTACATGTCCCTATAGAATTAACAGAAAATACACAGAGTCATTTGGATTCCCAGAATTCTTCTATGAGTGCCTTTATTACCATTATCCAAGCCATACTGAGAAAGCAGAGAAGCTTTTTTTCCTAAACTTAGAAA